TACATATACAAATAAATGAGTAATTAATTGCTTCAAAGTTCTAGGTACAACTTTTCTGCTCGAATATCTGGTTGTTAGCTGACTCAGAATAGCCTTAATTTATCGTCAGCAGATCTAATTGTCCTCACTACTTTATAATGCACATCAAATTCCATCACGCTGTTTCAATCCTTTCTTATCCAAATGAATTCTCTATTACCATAGGTATAAAGTCAAGCTACATACAGTTTTCCAAGTCTGTTATCACATACTTACTTGCGCCCCAACTTGCACCCCAAGTTGAGTCCAATATGTCCTTCAATTATAGGAATCCTGCTCTTGCTTCGCCTGTCCTTGCCTTTGCGTCTGTAACCGATCCTTCTTGTTCATCGATGGTGCTTTCCAGAAACGTGAAAGTTTCGACCTCTTCCAGAGCCTCTCCATCAATTATGATTTGGTTGTTATCTGTGTTGCATTTGAGGATCTTACTCTTTCCAATGTTTATGTTGAAGCCTACTGCTATTGAGGCTGCTGCTACACTGGCTGTCTCGATCTGCATTTGTCCGTGTGTATAGGGTAGAAGTGCCAGGTCATCTGCAAATTCCGAATCGTCTAGTTGCATGCAAACTGTCCATTATATTCCGTGCTTTCCCAAGATGTGAAGGTCTTCATGATCCAGTCAAGCACTAGAAGAAAGAGTAAGGGGGGAGTAGGCAAACTTGTTTGCCTCCAGTACTCACTTGAAATGCATCTGTCAGCTGTCCTCCATGCACGACTTTGTAGTTTAGTTCATCGTATTAACTCTGGATGATGTTGACGATTTTCACACCATAGTGTCGAAAACGTTTCCATGAGGTTCTCCTTTCTACTCTGTCAAATACTTTCTCATAGTCAAGGGAGTTGATGTGTACTGATGGGTTCCAACCTATTGATTGTTCAACAATGATCCATAGTGAAGCAGTTTGGTTTGTGCATGACTGATCGTAACAGAATCCTGTTGGCCTGTTGATCTCGGAGTTGGGTGTCTACTGATACTTCCATTCAGTTCAACAACCCGCTGTTAAAAACGTTTACTGTTACCGATATTGGTATGATTCCTCTGTAGTTCCTACATTTGTTCAGATCTCCTTTCTTTGGTATATTGATGAGGTATCCTTATTTCCAGTGTGTCGGCACTTGTTCTTTCTCCCAAATCTTCCCGAATAAAACGTGGAGCGTGTTTGCGGTTATTTCTGTGTCTGACTTTAGTGCTTCGAATGACATATTATCAGGTTTGTCTGCTTTCACACTCTTGATTTATCTGATGGTCATCCTGACTTGTTTGATCGTTGGTGGAGTGACATGTATAGGAATGTCTGTGGATGGTACTTCGATGTCCGATGGATTTAATGGAGCAGATCTATTCAAGAGTTCCTCGAATTATTCCACCCATCTGTTCCTCAGTTCTTGAATCTCTGTGATTGTCTTGCATTTTTTATGCTTGACCGGTCTCTCTGGTTTCCTGTATTTCCCAGACAGTTTATTTGTTGTGTCATATGGTTGTCTCACATTTCCTTCTCTTACAGCTTTTTCCGCAGTCGTTGTTAAGTCTTCCACGTTTTTCTGCTTGTCGGTTCAAATGCTTCTCTTCACTTGCTTGTTTGCATTTGTGTATTCAACCTGTGCATCGACTCTCTCTGTTCTTGTTCGACTGTTGTTGATTGCTGTCTTCTTGTTCTTCCTTTACTGAATCTAGTCAAGTAATTCGATAGGGATCCATTCCTTGTGATGATAATTCTTGCGTCCCAGCATCTCCTGACGCATTGAAATTAGTGCTTCTTTGATTCCTTTCCATTTGTCCTACATAGTAGTGTTTTCTTCTTTCAGTAGATCTTGTAAGGCTTGGGATCTGTTATTGAGAGTTATCTTAAAATCGTTGAGTTTGTCAGTATGTTGAAGGAAGGCTGTGTTGAACCCTTGTAATGCTGTTTTTCAGTTGTCTAGTGTTTTTTCACATTCAGTTTCATCTTGACAGTCACCAGTTGGTGGTGATTTTAAGTTAGCTATGTCAGCTCCTCTCCTGATTTTCACGTCTTCCATTGACCTTGCAAATACGATCCATCTGGTTCTCTGTAGTGAGGTCTTGTGAGACACATGTAGCTTTTTGTATGTGTTTATGTGGTAATATTGTGCCATATATAACCGTTTTTGCTGAATGCACATAAGTTTGCAAATCTCTCACCATTCTCGTTCTTTTTTCCCAGTCAGTTCATACCATCTCATGATATCTTGATATCCGGTGTTGTCCATCCCATTCCTGCCTCTAGTAAAACTGGTCTTTATCGTCTTCATTGTTATCACTAGTGGGTGCATAACAATGAATGACATTCGTTGTGATTCCCTCCTTTATTTCGAATGATGATTTGATAATTCTGGATCCATGTGATTGTCATCCTATTGATGCTTTACATGCTTATTTGTGCAGCATCAGAGCGATTTCCTGAATGTACGGGTGATTTTTCTCGTCGTGAACAGAATAAAGCAGCATCAACCTCATATCGGATCTTTTCTGTCCAAATTGTGTCCGATGTATTTCACTGATTCCAAGCAACACCAAGTTGTACCGCTTCATTTCCGTAGCAGTGTGACTGGTTCCCTCGGTCTCTTACACTGTCTGGATATTACATGTCCTCATGTCAATTATTGCTCTGGTTGTTAGAAGGCGCGTCAGACTTGTGACTTCCAAAGAACCCTGCATCATAATTCTTCCGAATGAAGATCTTTCAACTCAGAGGGCAGAGAATAATGGGTTCAAGTTGTTTATTCTGGTCAGCGTTTGTTTTAGAAAATTTGTTATCTACGTGAAGGGGTCATTGATTTTATATGCGGCTCCCCTCTTTATTCAGGCTTAGGATCGGCAACCACTTTATAGAAGCTACAAGAGGGGTTGAGTTTGCTATTCGCAGACACGAAGCGAAAACATGCTTTCTACTATGTTATATTTGTTCGCAATATGTCACAATATTGATAGTACCTCGATTTAGTTGGTGGACATACAAGTTTCAATTCGAATCATCAGTATAAATGAGTAAAACTCAATTATGTGTTGCCTAACTCTCTTGTGGTTATAATATTAATACAAGAGATTGAACAATTTAATGTCACACTTTTATTAAATACATGGTAAACAAATGAATATAACTTATTTTGGCATGTAGAATCTCACATGTGAAGCTCACGCTTGAAACGATCGATATGGTGGACGATGGATGGCATAGCTGAAGCACAAAAATTTGCTTGTTATCAGTATTATTAGTTCACAAGATGACAAGTAATGATGAGAGCTCGCGATTATTTGTCAAACAACAGAGTCAAACAAAGTTGGCTGTTTAAATTTTGAAACACAGTACAGAAAGGCTCAATTTGCTTGAAGAATACATTTCTGTGCATCACGCACTTTAATCCGCACCTTTCCTTTATATTTGATGGAATTCTTGGGAACTAACAATCGCTGTTGTATGAACAGAATTTAGTGTTGCGAAAATTACTCGTTCACCACTTGTCTATCTAGCATCACGGAGTGTCTGGATCAGATTGCTTACTTAGATTCTACTTCTGGTATTCATTGTGGCAATGAGATGCTGGGAGGATTACTTTACTTTCTTGAATTTTAATACGAATTTATTTATTCTTCTTGAAATGAAATGACTAAATATACGTGCAATAGATAGGATGACTTCATTGAAGTTCTCATTATCTTTATATTCTTATTTGATAACCAATAGGTTTTGTTTAGATTTGCAGAGTGTGCCTATGTCGTACTAAGCTTTAGTATCAGTTATAAGACCGAGCTTAAACGCCTTGCCAAAAGATCGATGGAATTTTAGACGTTTAGTGTGACTGAATTGCAGGACGATAGGCACGAAAGTCTGTCTTACGTTTGGTGCGTATGAGAAATTTCGCAAACTCCATGTATAACATGAACAACTGACCTCTAGGAAAGCATTACGTGAATAAAGATAACTTAAAATGTCATCCCATGTCAAAAATGACAGCAGAGAACAACACTCACTAGTAAGTTGGAAGCATCAATTCTGTCAGTTTAACAGTGGTCTTATGTCCAATTTTCAATTATTTCAATCAGTTTTACTCGGCATATGAAAATATGGTATTCTTTTCTTCATTCATAAAGTATATGAATTCTGAGGAGAGTATCTGGAAGAGAACCACATAATCAGTTTGGAGGCCCAAACTCAAGACCTATCAGGAGAGCCTTAAGCCACTAGATTCTTATATTTATCGTGTAAGAGGCATAGTCAAGAATTCCGAGTGACTTAAAAAATCCTAAACGTTCGTGGTCATCATATCGGACACCTAATAAATTTAGGCACATACACTTAACTCATAGGTGGAACATGATAAACTGGATTGCAGACATGCGTTCTACCCCTTACAAGAAGTCAAGTGTCTTGATCCACTACCTAAAACAGTGGTCTGAAAGATTTCTCGGGCGCTCCTAAAAACCAAGACATATATATATTCTTAAAGACTTATAGACCTCTCAATTCTGTCTCGTCACAGATTAGGTGGTCTGGTTTCGATGCATAGGATACTAAGAAGTAATTTTGAACATAATATATCACCTGGTTATCTTGCTACAAGGTCAGTACAACCCAGAGGAAATACGAGGAGAGTACAAAAGATCAGAACAAATTAAGTACTTGGGGTACACAGGGTTTCGCACCAAGTAATCAATTCTTGCAACGTGTTACACGAAGAAATGCTCTCTGTCCCTTAGATGGAATGATTTAAGAGAAGAAGAAGAATTATCAGAAGCTTAATAGAAAAGGGCTAACATAGGCCACATGCCGGCCTTCTGTCTTCAATACACAAATATGTTTTATACCACTTAGATCCCACCCGGAGTCATCAGTGTTTCACCACTTCTAGTAATGGAAGCTCTTCACCTGTAAGTTTGCTCTGTTCTAATCATAACTATTTTAACATATGGCATATTTGTGCGATTCAATTGGAGATTGAGCAGAAGGCGGTTGCGGAATGACCTTACAAAGTGCATGCTTCGTAAAAAGTTTAAGTCTTAGTGTACTGTATTTGTTTGTGTCGTGAGAAAGTGAGTTTTTAGATTTTATTTAAATCGCGAGTAAAAATCTTCATCATTCTGAACTCAATCTTATTGCAACTTGTGCTTCTGGTTTGGAAATTTCATTATTATTATTATGGACAGTATATATATACAGTATACTGTCTAACCCAATTTCCAAAACTTTTGCGCAAAACTACAAATTTTGTTACGTTGTCCTACAAGCACGTTGCTGATTGACCTTTTTCAAATAGACTGTTAGACCGGAGCTATTTTAATGCCCCGAGCTGCCAACTTTGGGGAAATTTTGGAGTTTGGGTCTCATTTCCCCAAATTTTACTATAGCGGCTTCCCCAAAATGTGCCAAATTTTCCTCAAAATTGGCAGCTTGGGGCGTTTTTTGAATACTACCTAATGTAAATACTGTGTCTAAAATGCCAGAGAATTCCTGAATGTACTTCGATACAAATGTTTGTCAGATATATGTCGAAAATTTTCGTGTAGTCTTTTTCGTTCATTTTCAAACCACTATATAAAAGTTCATTACTCTCTGGTAAACATGAAAGGCGACTGATGCAGTCTTTGGTTGGTGCCATCGGAAGGTCAACTTTAAAGAGGTTACTTTCCAGATATATGAATGTAAAAAGTTCACATATCCTCTTGGGATTTGGATGGTCATGTCATAAACGGGTTCTTGTGCAGTGCACCCAGCATCAGCTTTTACCGGAGTACGAATTACTAGTAAAAATAGAAGTACGTCCACTCAGTGTGCTGTATCCTCAGAGAAAAAAGTGACGTGGTGGTTAATGAATTTGCTATAGCATCATATGTTTGGGGACTATATGAGACCGTTCAAAAGCGTTTTATATCTACAAACGTCATCAAGGTGTAAAACAATTGTCTCCATATGATATCTGTGGTCTTTTTTAATAGTTGGCAACCAAAGTTTGCAATCTGTCGTTCGGCTAAAGCGCGTGCGATAGTTTCACCAGTGATTTATGTGATGAGCACAACTTCAGACCATTGCGTGAAGCAGTCTATGTACCCTAAGAATCACGGTGATCCTGTTTATTGCCTCTAGATATTCGCCATAATGGCTTGTTTTCGGAGTCTTCCAAAATGAGGATCCACATTTTGAAGAATTGTTTCTTCATTTGGAACTGCAATCAAGTAGTCGCCAAATTATACAATGTACAAATTCAAACTCCCAGAGTACATATTTGGTTAAGCGTTGAAGCATTTGCGCTTTATTTTACAGTCGTTAGCTCACAACTTCAATTAGCCCTAAAGTACTAATTGCGGCTATTTCGCGAACGCCTTTTTAGGTGATAGGGATCTGGCTATAGGTTTTAAGTCAAGTTTTGAAAACATAGTTATAAATTTTATGTTAGCCATCAAATCATGGTTGTGGGTCAGGAATAACAGTTTGAAATAATTTTTCATTAAACCTCAATGGTTGTTGATTTAATTCGTCTATATGCAACGTTGACGACCTATTTCAGTAATAATATTACTTAAACATCATCGCTCACTCGTTGACCCGATCGAATAGTGATTGTTATATAAAAGCGCCAAGCTGTAAGCTTGCAGCATAACATTTTCCAATTGGTTGAAGTTTTTTCATCGGTATAAAAAGCAACAAAGTGCATTAAAATTTATTTACATGTATCTGTTAAGCACTTTCTTTTGTCAGAAACATGTTTGTTTTTAGCGGATGTCAGAACGTATTGTGATTTTTTCGATTACTTATAACGATAGAATGCTGTATGTAAAATCCTGAATTAAGCAGTAAGAAGAGTGATATGTCATTATTGTGAAGAGTAGAAATAAGTAGTATTACGTTAGGTTATTTCAGTCCAGTTAGATAGTTCATACAAGCATTATCAACCAGAAAAAATAGAATAAAAGCAGTAAACTAAACGGAATCTTTGTGATAGGTATCTTTCCATACATATCCTTGATTATTTCCCAACGTTCTGATTTACATAGATTTTCGGACTATGTTGTTCTGCAAACTCCTCCACAATAATGAAGTGTATGGTATAAATAGGGTAGAATTTGTTGATCAACCGAACATGACGTGACTCATAATTTATGCTTGTAATAAGTTAAAAGCGTGAAGTATCAATATGATTGGAAGTTTTGCTAGCATGTTCAATCATAACTGTTTGCACATGGGATGTACCCATAGTTTCACCATTGGATTGCAATATAATTTTTGGCATTGTAATTTTTTGTGATCAGTGTCAAGAGGAAGAAAGTGATTGATTTACCGTATATACAGTGATATTAAATTTGTTTCACTAGTAGTTTATGAAAAATTACTCGAAAATTTACCTGTAGAATGCTTCATATATTAGGTGAATTTTGAATAAAAGGTCTACATGTTTCATATTGAATTACTTCACTTGAATAATGTAGTAGTTTTATGCCATGTATCATTTCGTTATGTTTTACTTGACTACACAGGTAAGATGTATGAGGTTTTTGCAAGACCATTCTCTTTTTCGTAAGAGGGTTATATTTTTAAGCAAATACTTAGTTCGCGATTTCAAACACTTTAGTCAACCAACTTTTCAGTTCAAACAAAGGGTGTTTTTTATAGAATTCATCTACCTCTATTATACGTTTATTCAAGTGGTAAAATTTAACTGGTACTCTGTTTTTTAGGGATTCCACGTTTTGCACAGCTATTATCTTTAAGACTAAATTTTAATCTATAAATCCTATAAAGCAAGAATGATTCTTCCTTCCTCTGTGCCTAAGCGTAAAAAGGCAGAAAAGGAACTTTTTAAAGATACTCATACCATAGAATCAAATGAAATAATTTGTAAGGTACAAACTACTTTATAAATAAATAATCTGATCTCCAGTTAGTCAAATCATGCGGCAACTATTTGTTCACTGCGATAACAGAACAGGGAGAGGAAGTCTTCGTATCCATTCCAGAAAGATTTCGCAATACATTCTACTTTGCTCAAGGTGGTTTTGTTATCTGTTCACCGCTGGATAGCAAAAAGGTGAAGGGAGAAATTCGAACTGTGTTACAGAAGGATAATATTAAGGCTCTGATTAATGAAGGCCGTTGGTAAGTGTATAATATGTTAGTAGTCGTGCCATAATTTTATATCGTCTTATTCGTAAATTATTTACATTACTTATTATCATTATTATCAATAATGTGATGGAATGCCAGAATGTAGAAACTAATAGTGTTCGGTTTTCAACTGATTCCTGTAATCTGCACTCCTGTCTTCTGAACTGAAATTACCAAATGTTGATGTTTTATCCCGCATTGACTACTAGCCATAATAATAACATCATTTGACAGCGCGTTGTGAGTTTAGCTGAAAACATACATGTCACATTAAGATCCATTTTTTCAGGTCAGAAACCATATTTATGTACAATTCGACGTTGCGCTTGCATGGGAATTCATTTTCTACTTATCAATACTAACCAGTCTTAACTATTATATGAAATAGGTTGTTTTCTTTTCGTACTTCTTATGTTTTTTCTGTGTCACTTCGATACCAACTTCAGTAATTAAGGTATGAAAAACTCTGTTTATAGTATGATAATCATTTGTAACTTTAGGTCTTTTGAAACTGATGAGAATCTTTGAAATATAGTGCATTCATGTTATTTTGGAATCCTTTTTCTTCTCACTTTATTAAAATGTATCAAGGATTCAAAAAGTAAGAAAGAACTAGCAGTTAGATCTATCTATTCTACATTTCTGTCAAGTAACATTCGTTAGGACTAGACATTTAATATTTAGAAAAATCATCACGTAACCTGAGTGTTGTATGAAAAATGTTACTAGCATTTCGTAAAACGAATACACGAGCTGTTTTCATGTTTTCAAGGTGCATAATATATCTAAAGATACAGTAGTATTTCGAAATTACTCTGTAGTGTTTTGCTAGGTAGGCGTAAGTTTATTTATTGTTGCTCTTATTAATAATTGGTATTCCTGACTAATAAATAAGTCAACGATAACCTACATTTCATAATCACTGTTCTGGATCGGACAGGCTGTAATCAAGTTTGTATGCACCGTTAGGCTTAACGTTTTCACAAATTATGCGTAAATTTGTAGCTACTGATAATTTATAAATAGTACAAATCGTAGTACGAAACATTTGGACATTGAGTTTTCAGTAACTCAATACATGTCTACACATTGACAATCTCTGAAGTAGTACGACCTCTAGAAAGCAACAATTTAGGCTGCGTAGTTGATCAGCCGTCGCCAGCCTCTTACTCTAATGCTACCTTAAGATATGACATTAATTAGTTAATGTCCTTTATGATGGATTTCAATCAAAATATTTATAAGTCTTTTATAGTCATCAAATAAATCGGTATAAAAATACTATAATTTATACCAACATCTGTCGTCAAGTGCTTGGGAGAGCCTTTGTTATCATATTGAAGGGCTTATCTTTCGTTTTCTTGACCCTTATGGCCACTTCTGGCTTCGCGTAATTGTTGACTATGTCCAATACACTCCTCGATAATCACTAATAAAATATACGGGAAACTGGACTCTGAGTGTGTTAAATAAAATAATTATAAATCATATACTTAATCACATATATATCCAGCCTTTTAATACTTCTTTACTTATGTTTTGATGTGAACTGAAATTCTGGTGTAGCTCTGAATAAAGAATATCAGAAGCTACATAATCATTAATTAATATGAAATGTAGCTCTATTAATCACCTTTTATTCAGTGAATCAATCTTTTTGAGTGGGTTCTAGTAATAATGCCTAGGTCCCTCAACATAAACAGTTAGAACTGATTTCAACCTGCACCCCAGTAAGTCAAAACAATTTTTAGTTATACATTCATTTTGTGCTGACAACATGTACGATTTAGCTTACTAGTCCCTGCATTACTTTTATGGTATAGTTACACTCTTTAATCCTAATTCTATTTATATGTCAATATCTAGTGGTAGTGATCGCACCATCAACTATCGTTTTGAGTTGTAAGTATTTAATAGTTTTAATTGCTAACTGTTCCGTTGGAAAAAATACAACCGATGGTTTTATTCACAAATTGGTCACAGCTTTTTAAATGTTATCCTGAGCGATTCGTTTGTGTTTAGATTTCTTGGTATACTGTTTTAATTACCAAATAAATTTAACCGCTTTTTTGACTGAGTAATATTTATTATTTTCCCTATCACTTCCTTATAGGCCGGAAACGTTTACTGTAAACATATCAAAGGAATCCTCAATAAAGAATGACAATTATATCCCAGAAGATATGCTTCCATCATTCTCTGATAGTTCTGACACAGAAAGTGAATGTATATCCGATAACAATTAAAAATTGTATATATTTTTGTGTAATTAATTTTACCATATATCAACATTAAAATCTCGGATTTCTTTTTTGAAAAGCAGTTTCCCGAATTCATCATTGTTGTTCTCTTTATCAATCTCGTTTCCCCAGTATATTTACCATTTATTTTCGTTGTCTATTACTGTTGGCAACGAGTTGATGTTTCAGCAATTATAAGTTATTTCAATATATTGAATCTCAACAGAATTTTTCGGCTTAACTCTAACTAACATCACTAATATTAAGAAGTGGTCGCATAACTATTGTCAACAAAGTTATTTGATGTTAATCGTTTACAACTTAATACCAAATTCTATTCATTTGAATCATTTTAAAGTTTTGTTACCGTTTGTGTTTCTGTTATGCGTTATCAAGTCAGAATTGAAGAGATGACCTATTATAATCGTTGAGATATATGGACATATTGCCAATATCACTAAGGTTACAGTAGGATTCATGTCGGGAAGTTCTGAAGTTGCCACAGTGGAGTGTATAATAGCTACATTGGGTTATGTGTTAAATACAAACAATTTAGTTGATTGTGTAAAATACTGTTAATCAGTTGATATCAATGAGTAGTTTCTAGACGTTATTTACAGATTTGTTGATATTCAAACATATATATATATATATCCCCTTTTATGTTTAGGGCTGAAATCAATCAGTCTCTTTTGGTATATGTGCATCCCATGTGGATTACCTCTATAATGTCATTGAACTATTCTGTCATAATAATAAGGTATATTTCTAGTACTACGTACAAATAATTTAATAAGGAAAGTATTAACACTCAGAATTTATTAATATTGAATCTCAAAGTGTTCAGAAATCTGTTACATTATCGAAACCCCAACCACGTTGGTAGAGAGTGCCGTACAACTACTTAAATAAAGATAAAATTAAAACACAATTATCAAATAACATGTCACTTTTCGTAATTAAAGAAATTTTCAAAGAGTAGCATACATAAACGAACAACAATAAATGCGGTAGAAAAAAAAAGCTAACCCACCCGAAAAACAAAGCAAACCGTCTTAAATAAAAATGTAAACAGATAGGATAATTGCTTATTGCAATAAATGGAAATCTCTCATGATTAAAATATGAAACTTGGGTATGTGTAAATATAAGTCAAACAATTTGTTACTAATCTGTATGACGATATGCATATACAAGAAAGGAATTATTAACCAGTCATACATGTAATCTTTCTTTTATATATTAGTACCATTGAATTAATTACTTCTATGAATCCGGTGTTCATCTTGCTGTGCTAATGCGGTGTAGCAACTTGGACCGATGCATAAATGTGCCTGGTCCTACATTGTAGCTGACATGAATGAATAATGCTTACAGTTTGATTTATGAATCGACACCCACAAAGAAGGGTGATAGTCTTGATTATTCTATTTGTTCCTTAATAACTATCAACTTGGACATCAAGATGTCCTAAATGTCTGTGCTTGATCATCGTATTTTTTCCTAATAAATATTTTATGATTCCTCGCCATTGAAGTTAATTTTTTTCCTTTAACCAGTAATTTCTTTTAGTTAAAATGAAAATGAAACGTGAAAATAAATTTGAAAAGAATTTCGTATATTAAGTAGTTTTATATTGAAAAATACAGTAAGAAATATATTTCTCAATAGTTGAGATCACGAGTCAATTGAAGCTAGATCATCATGGAGAACCTAGAAGAACTGGATGGCCGTTTCGTCCTATTGTGTGACTCCTCAACAGTGTGCATCGACGATATTTTTATAAATACCAATCAGTAATGATGAATTTTAATAAAATCATTCATATTAGTTGTAATAAATTAGTTGTTTTCTAATTCAACCTTGAGTTCTTTTTCATTTTACTGAATCAAAGATTTACCGGACAATTCGATATCGAATGGTATACTTTCAGATTGGACAAATTTTTAGTCTTAATTAAACCTTTGGTTTTTCTAAAAAGGAATCCTGTGATCTTAATGCATACTGCAGTTAAGTTCATGTATGAGGATTGAGGGATATATTGTAAATATTTTTAAAAAACAGTAAGTCATCCTGTTATTTCATGGAGATCTAGTAAACTAATACTAAAATAAGATAATTGTTTTACTCACTTTCTCACATAAAGTGATCTTTCTTAATAATGATATAGATACTTATACTGACTAAACAATATCTCATATATTCATCATTCTATAACTTTCTTCTTGAGTTAAATGCTAATAGTCTTCTGAGTTTCATATATACTGATAAATTTTCCACCTATTCATCATAATTAAATATCCATATATTAGATGCATTTCATCTGAAAATAGGACAAACTATCGATTCATGCATATTATCTATCATTTGGATTTATAAGTCCATGAAACCGACCTTTTATTATCATTATTATCCTAACACAAGTAATCGATATATTATTTTTATGAACAATTTTAATCACTACAATTAACCTAAGTTAACATTTCCCTAAGTTTTGACAATACAGGATATGTTTTACAAAATATGCATATAGATTGTCAATTTGCCAATGAATACAATTAAGTGATGTATGAGAAATATTGTCTTGCTGAAAAACTCATTAAGACTAGATATCCTATCGTGTATTCAGGGCTCAAATTTGCCCTACTGAAAAGTTTCAAACTAATACTAAACAATTATTCAGTTCTTCTTGTATAACTTACGTGAATGTGATAGAAAAAAGTATTTTCAGACTGTTTTTTGCATTTAGTGAATTTATATGGAGTACCAAACCACATTTTCGGGGTTGTTCACGAAAATGAGAGGACGAAAAGCGAATGTCCGGCGCTTTAACCGGATTCCAAACCAATGGTGCACATGAGCTCCAGTATCCTGCGGGAACAAATGGCGAATGAACCAATTGTTGGTCATTGGATACCGTGGGACTGCATCTCATAACGATGCTCCACTGCTTTGTGGATCAGACCGTCAGGTCGAAGGCTCCGGGTGTGTTCCCCTAATAAAACCACCTGCTTCAGTTTGGGCACCGGGGGTAGTATCACAGCCCTCTCACAAATCAAATGGGATTTGTGTGGCGCATATGCATTTGGTGCCTTCTTGTACCAATATCTATGTGTTAAATTAATAATAAATAATAACCAAACCACATACGCCTTAACTCATTGAAATTTATTAGATCACTCAATAGTCGAGTGTTTTCTTTACTAAGATTTGTTACAATAATCTTGTGATCCATTTTCATTAGTTGAAATCATGAGTCAATTGAAGCTAGACCACCATGACATATTGCTGATCTAAATGTTGTCGTGCGATTGTAGTCTTTAAGTATGATCTTAAAATTTTTCTCTCAAGTAATTCATTAATAGTCGATGTTTTAACAACCACTGGATTCTAATCCTAATGTTCCACAATGCATTTTTTATTAGCAGAATTGAAAACCATTACAATATCTTTTCTATTGAAGTTTATTATTGACTGAAATTATTTTCGTAGTTTCATGTTTTCAGCTGTTCGTTGAATGAGTAGATCGAAGCGTTTTTTGAAAATTTATACTATTGGTGTAAGTTATCTGTAGAAATTAGGTGTACATTTTGAGTATTCTACAAACAATAGTTCGTCGAATATGTTTCTTCCATCAGAAGTCAGTGAAACGCGGCCTGCTTGAATATCTGGGCTACCTGTTCCTCCGATCTATATATTTCATCAAGTTATCTGTTTTGTTGTTTGTTTTAGTTCATCATTATGTTCATTAAGCACACAACCTATCCAGGCGCGTTTATGAAAAGTTTACAACCTTTCGCTATACGTGATACAAAAAGGTGCAATCATCGACATCATGGTGGCTGGCAATATGCATTGAAACGAACGAACATTAATCAAATGTGGATTACCGAACTCCTAACATCTAACCGGTCATCATTCAAAATTTATCGTCACAATAGATCAAGGTATAAGAAAAGGAAACTTGTTGAAATACTTTATGCTGAGAATTCTATGTTGTACCAAAAATATAATGTTGAATAAAGCTTCTAATAATATAATATATCTAGACGCCAACTTTTCTCAGAATAATTTTGTGCTGATTGGTTTACTGGAAAACAAAATAACACTGCTAAAAATTGGTTGATAAATAAAATTATGTAATCTTTGTTGTGACATGTCCGTCTTTTTATCACGTGATCTATCCACCAATCAAAATATGACTTATACAGTCTTAGCACTATGCCAAACCAATGACGTTCAACAGGTATGGTCAGCCTAGCGTCCTTATTGGTCCTATGTCCGCCTAGCCCGTCCACTTGAGTCCAGAACACCAAATACCAGCTTCCAATATTCGAATCGAATCATTTATTTCAGACGTACTGGGTTTATATATCAATCAAACAGATCGCAACGCACCATAAAATAGGAAATAACATTTGTACACAATGAAGTGACTGTGAACGTGGGAGGCAGTGGTCAATAAACTGAACATAGCTTAAGAACAGTAAATCGTACAATAATAAATTATAAGTGAAAATAAAGCTTATAATAAGAGGAATATAAATATACATAATCTAATTATTGAATAGTTATACCATAAGAATGTATGGATAATACTAGTCAATTAAAATGTTTCAGAAGTTACTCGTGATTTAATCTTAGCTCGGATATAACAATCTTAATTTCCATGTTTCTAAGATGTATTCAGTGAAATAGTTCACTTTAATGTTATCGTCTTATTTTCATCATGTTTGGATGGCGCGGTAATCAATTATTGACAAATAACATATTAGAAGTTATTTACTATATTCTAATTAACTAACACGAAAAATAATTTGCACATAACTTGGGCCCTATATCTTGAATTTATAGCCACTTACGAACAAGGTAGTTGTATAATTCCAGTAAACTTCATACATTTTCATAATTTCAGATTCATACTACTGATTACTTCATTCCAAAACCTCCACTTACATCCTAGTTTACATCTAACAACTCGAATAGTCTAATAAGTCTTTAGTTATTTTTATGTGTTATTTAGAAAGACAATGAAAATTTCATAAGTAAACTAGCCAGTTC